TTGCATATTATAGACAGCATCGGAGGAGACATTAGTATTTGCAGGGACACGTGATTGCCTCTAAACACAAGGCTCGGTTGGAAATCGCAGCTGTCTGGCTTGTACTAAGTGGTTTGTCAAGGGTCTCAATTTCAACCCCACCCCCTGCCATAATATGTACGTGCATGCTCTGGAAAACAATTATTGCACTCACAGCCCCTGCTTTTCGTTTGGTCCGCGCGCGCTGAAAAATCTGCTTAAAAGCCCGGCCGCGGCGCATATACATAATGCTAGTATACCTAAAAGCTTCTTGCAGAATGAGTAATTAGGGGACTATACTCTCTGTACCCGTCGCGTAATAACGCGCGAGCGAGCGATGATGCATGTCACTCGCTGCTGCCGCTTTTTGTTTCAAAAGCGCCAACAACAGATTATCATACTGCTGTATGTGCATTATTATTTTCTCTGCGCCTTTCTTTCTTTCCTTCTCTTTCGAAAAGAGGGCTCATTACGCGCCCGTGCAACTCGGCGGCGCATGCCTCCGCCAGATTTTCGCAGTCCTTTTTAACACAAAATGCTTCTGTGTGTGTTTGAAAAAAAAAATGCTCGCGCGGGGTGAATAAAAATTTGGCGTGCATAGAGTATTTTCCTTCTTATTCCTCCTTGATTATTATTTTTTTTTTTTTTGCAAAATATATGAAAATAATTTTTAATAAATTTATAACTAGAATAAATGAGATGTAAAACATCATAAATTACATATAAAAATTAAATCCACTGAATCCAATCTAATTATGCAATTTTTTAATCCACAATGCAATAATTAAAACACCATCACTTGTCATAATGAAATTTTCAATTAAAATTTGTAGATCCGAACCGATAATTATTAGTATAATTATCAAAATTCTCCGAAGAATAGATGTTTCAGTTTTTTTCTTTCTAAAAGCCGTATTCCTAAGAGAAATTTTCTAAATTCGTTCGTCTATAGTTTATCAGCCCAAGTGACAGCATGATTTCAAATGCAGAATGGTGATCATATCAAATAAACTTATGTACTATCATGCAATCATGTATTTAATCTTCATGTTACTAACAATATTGGGAAGTACTAGCGGTGCAATTAATATTTTTTTATACTAACGAGGAAAACTTTTCTCTTCGTAATGTTTGGAAAATATTTTGCCTAAAATTTATAGAAGGAATTAAGCACATGTACTCTTAAATCGACACTAAAGCTATGACATAACTAAATTAAAATTGGAAGATTGGAAGCCGAACACTGAAAACATAAGTCTCTTTGTTAAAACCTATTGTGCATAAAAATTTAGTTTTTGAGATAAATTTTTAGATTGTGAAGTAGTGTTTCTCAGTCAATTCGATTATTTTTAATTTCAATCTTCAAGATAATTATTGAAAAAAAAGTGAGATTTCTCATAATTCTCATGAAATACAATGATGCAATATCAAAATGTTTTCACTTTACCTTGGCTGAGTTGTGTCTTTGGTGCTGAAGTTGCTGAACGTTGAACAAACGTCTGCAAAATGTTGGACTTCATCGCGGAAAATGCTGATCCTCAATGAGAAAGACTGGAAAATATCCTTGTAATTTGTATGCACCCTTTCTTCTCTGTTAATGTTTTTTTGTTTTGTTCACCTTCACCCCATCAATCACGACAATCACCAGTTTTGCACCAGCTGATTACAACAAGTGCGGGAAAGATGTGAAATTCTTGGATTCGCCACACAGATGGCGTTCTGTTGTGTATATTTTACTCTCGAAAGAAGGAAAAAGCGGGAAACAGGGCTAAGTGGAGCGTGCGCTTGTCCTCTATCCCGGAGACTGAGGTTCGATTCCCACTCCAGGTGGAACCTGAGTGATTTCTCACACTGGGACTTCGAGTGAAGGGACTGAAGGGTTGTTCTTTGCTGAAGTCGGAGCCGCAGGATTTCATGTTGAGATATATAGGATGCACTTTGCTTTTAATTGATGCGTTTAATTAATACAAAATCCTTATAAAATCAATTACAAAACAAAATATTAGGTAATAATATAACATTTTTTTTATCATAAAATATAAGACTATATTTTGAAAATTCAATAAACTCTCCTTTTTAAATTGCCTGTTAAAAAGTACTTTGTTGGAAATTGGAAAATAAGAAAATATTTATCAATTTTAAAATGCTATTTCGGAAAACTTGATACAGCGATGATTTTGGAATCTTTTTATATTAAAAAAAATCATCAAATGTTGACAATTTTGGGCCATATAATTTTTTTCAACCCTATTATTTTTACACGCAAGTCGGTGCAAAACAAGCTCGGCTCTCGGCTCTTTTATATTTGCTCCACTTGAAAGCTACTATATGCGTCGCTTTAATTATTTCCACCGCAGAAGTACATGCGCGAACTCGACCGACATTATTATTATTAGGTCTGGTGTTTTGTACGTTTGCGAGGAGAGCTGTGTGCGTATGACAGCATTACGCGCATGAATAGAAAATCGCGGGTTGCAGTGCAGACGTCCCGCAGAGGCGCGTTCTGTTCCGCAGCAGCCTTTTCAATTTTTTCTTTCTTTATTTCTCTGCAGCACCTCGATAAAAAAAAAAATACAATAATTCCGTGCAGTGCGCACGGTGTGCTTAGTAATAATAAAAATATCCGCCAAGTGGATTTATGCGCACTTCGTTTTTCCGATGCCACAGCAGCAGCTGGAATTATTGGATTTTCACGCGGCAGCTCTTTTTAAATAATAATATACACCACTTGACCTTCTATATAATAATAATAAAAAAAAACATGCTGAATCAAGTTTTAAATTTTCGATATGTAAATTAATAAAATTTTCCTGATCACTTAAATTTTATAAATTATAATAAAAGCAGGAGAGGCATGCATAAATAAATTATCTTGTTAATAACAAAAATGTTTACATATTGAAACTGAGTGAGTTTGGTGCTATGCACTATGCAGGTGCTATGTTTACATTTTTAACACTGAATACTATTGGCAAATTTGCAGTTATTACTGATCCTCTTGGAAGTAAAATGCGATAAAATGAAAATGTTAATAAGTAATATTAAAAAAATATTTATAAAAAAAGCTGTACAAATTCTGACTAGCATATTTTCATCCTCCTGAGTATATAATATTTTATCTTCAAATTGATTAAACTTAAATTTATTATTTATGAGATTGTATAATGTAATATTCTAAGAGAATTTAATTTTAATAATTTTCAATTATATCAATAATTAAATAATTGAAGCAAATTTAAAAAAACCAATCGTAGTCTAATTTTCGTTTATAATTTATTTAAAATTAGAGGTTGGAGAGAGACAAATAATGCTGCATGTGGAGCTAGGCACATTAGTATTCTGAATACGAGGTGGATGCTCAACACACAAATCAAGAGAGAAATGTATTTATAAATACGTTTGGGTCGGACGTTTTCGTGTGTCTGCTGTGTAAAAAAGCAACTGTCCAAAAAGGATGTTTACACGAGAATCGTCGGTGGGTCTATTTTCACCCCTGGATGGTGCTCTGCATGCGCGCTCGGCCCTGTGTGTCTGACGGATCGTAAATACAAATTTACTTCTATATGCTGCGCGCTGAGCACACGCACCGTTTTTATGACTGATGCATACAATATTATACTTTCGGGGAGGAAAGTGAAGTAGGAAAAAAGTTCCGAGTTTATTTCCAACACCGACTGCGGCACACGTGTGTGTCTGTTTGTAATTTTTGGTCTTTAACGAAACGACTGATTTTCAATATAAAATAGATTAAACTTGTCGGAAGTTGATGAGGAAAGATATTTATAAAAAGCTTGAAAAAAATTAATAGTATGGCTTACTAAAAATACACAAACTTTTGCAAAAATTATAAGAATAAAGGAAACTTTTTTGGAGATAATTTGAAGCTGTTAGATTTTTCTAATTATTTATTATAAAAAAAAACAGCTTTGCTAAAAAATGCATAGGTATAAAAATCCATCTATTTTCTCATAATTTTGATCTAGAATTTTAAATCATTTTTCATAGAAAAGTATAAATTTTCAGTGAAAATAAATTTAGTCAGAAAAAGTATTTAAAATAGTTTTTATTTATACATTTTGTAACCATTTTTATTTATTTAAATAATAATAATGTAAATTCAAAATAGCTATGAAAAATTTGACGTGCACTTTGGCAAATTTTGATTCAAAAATGGAAGTTTGAAGTAGCATTTTTTTCTCTAAAAAAGTTTCCGAAACCAACTGGAGCTAAAAGTTTTTATTATATATAGCTGAAAATAGACGAAAGTCCGCTGCAATAAATCAGCAGGTCTTTTCCTAATAATTTTTATTTGTATAGCGTATATGCCTGCTCTGCACCTGATGAAAGAGGATCATCTTTTCAAGTTGGATGATAATAACAAACCCCGTATAGCTGCTCTCTCGTCGCTTTCATTCACTCGCACGTCCCCTGACCCAAAAGAAGACGACAATGGAAAAAAACGGAGCGAGGAACAAGTTGTATATAAATGCGGATGGGGTGCATGCATGTGTGTGCGTATGTATTGTCAAACTTAATACACACACATATATACGCAAGCCGAAAAAAGAGAATGACACAAAAGGCATTCGAGGGAGGCGACCAATAAAAGGCGGAAGGAACTGGGCAGCCACCCTCGAGGGTGGAAAGAAAAGTACCCAGCGGCCGGCAAGTTCGGGATTGGCGTAGGGGGCGCATGAGCGCCTTCTCGGGGGTGGATCTCGCGAGGGTGCCGAGGGCCGCGGATGGACGCGAATTTAATTTCGGCGATTCGGCCCCGTCGGCCCTGCTTTGCGTCCCAAAAAGGAAGCACAAAGAAAGCGGCGCGGCGAGTTGAAAGAATTTTATTTTTAAATCAGGCGACTATTTCGGGTTTGGGCGTAGTTGGTGGTGCGGGCGGCGGCGGCGCTGGCGGCGTTCACCGGCTCGGGTGAATCTCGTGTGCCGGGGTGGGGAGGGCGCGCGGCGAGGTTGGCCGCGATTGGCCGGCGCCGGGGCAGTCAGTGTCGAGCGGCGAACATGTGAAGATGCCGCACGTGAGTGCAGCCAGCTCCGCTGGCGACGATCTGGGCTCGACGGACGAAGTCAAAGTGTTTAAGGACGAGGGCGGCGCCGACGACGACGAGAAGCGTTCGCCCGACAACAACCTGAACGAAGAGAAGAATAGTCTGATCGACCTTACTGAGTCCCAGGTGAGAGTTCCTTCCCAGCCCGAAAACCCACCTCAAACGAGGGTCACATGTATAGACATGCCTCGTTGAAAGGATCGCAAAATTCTTTCCGTAGCTGGCCCCGGGGTTAATCTCGGTGTTAGTTAGGCGCCGAAAATGAGCACTGGCGAACCACGTGTTGATTCTGTTTGGTCACGTGCGCCAGTCGGCCCGAATCGAATCAGAATGCATAACACACATGGGAGAGGAACAGGTTTTCGAATTGGTGTAATTGGCAAGTCCATGTTGAGAGCGACTTTCCCGGAAATTTGGCTCGTTTGTTATATTCAAGCTTCATTCTTGGCACAACTCGCGGCAGGTCAGAAATTCGCGGAATCCGGTGACATTTGGCGGCAAAATATTTAAATTAATATTTAAAACTGAAATATAAATTTAACTCAAATAAGGAGGATTAAAATTTATTATATTACGTTAAATAAAAATTAAGATATTATTAATTATTATTTAAAAAAAAGAAAAATACTTTTTTTATTTGTATTTTAATCTCTTTTTACTATTTTCTAATATTTTTTTAATTTTAATCTATTTATATCGGTTACATTACGTTAAATAAAAATTCAGATATTATTAATTATTATTATTAAAAAAAAGAAAAATAATTATTATATAGATTTGAATTTTATTGTATTATTTTATAATTTATTTTAATGATCTGAATTAATTGTTAATATTTAAGAGTAAAACAAGATTATGGTAATTTGTGCTATTTATTTTCAAAGTTCCTTTCATTGTTTTCATAAATATATAAATTTGATATCAGTCGGCCTCAAAATAGTCCATTAGATAACCCAAGTTGGAATGGCGAAGATTTGGTGATAAATCGCCCTCTCGACTGCTTGTCAATCTCGCTCACACTATAATCTGCCGAGGCGATAACAAGCTGCCCTGACAGGACTGTTAAACTTCTTCTTTAGACAGCTCGGAATTAATTGGAATTCCTTGCCTTGCTTCCGTGGTGGAGCAATTCATTAAGACGAATTCCTGACCCCGTCAACCCCAATTGGCAGGGCGCCGAACCAAATTCCACCGGGGCCGAATTTCGAATTTCGTTTACCAAAAAAAAAAAAAGATTCAGCTTCTCGTCGGTTAGAAGTCTGTGCGTTTATCAGATTGGAAGGAAGGAGGGCCGAGCGAGAGCAGCCATGTTTTTTAATACTCTCCTTGTCTGTTTTTATGTGTGCAGCTCACACACACACTCGACTATTTTTCTTGTCCGTGCGCGCCTGACCCTGAATATTTTATGAAAACAAACCCGCCCGGGTACAAAAAGAAGCAGCGCGGGTGAATCGACACATTTCGCCGGTTTTGTCCGCGGCTAATTGGGTTCGGCTTCGAGAGAGCGCGAGCGGGGGAGGATTTGGGATTTTCGTCTGTTTCCTGGAAGCGACTAGCGGTCCCTCGTTTATTGGGGGCTATTTGGAAAAGAAGAAGCAGGCGACACAAAAAAAAGGAGAAGTGGAGCTTTATTGACAAAAGAAAAAACCCAGGATATAGAAAGTTGGGTGTAAAATCCTTTTGAAAATTTTTGATAAGTGATTCTTTGAATAAAATATGTGCTAAAAATTTATTGTTTAAAATTTAGTCAAATATTTCTAGGTGTTGTATCAAAGGTGCTTCAACGATTCTAATAAAATTGTTTTATGTTTGAAATTAAAATTGTATGAAAATGCTATTTATTATTTTAAATTTGTTCTAATACATTTTGTTAACTTTTTAAATGCGTTAAAAGAGTGATTGTTTTCTCTAGAATTAACTTTTATGTTTATTTTAATTACAGAAAAATCAATTTCCTTACTTTCTTTAAATTAACTTTTGATTGAGGAGTAAATTTTTGCACTCAGCCCATCTTTGGGACTCATGAGGTATTTTTTGAGTTCCTTGGGAGGGGTGCTAAATCAAATGAGAGTTCTACCCCTCAAATGTAAGCTCTAGTCCACCACGAGCTGGAGCAATTTGTTTGAGTTTGCTATCTCAACATTCGTTGTAAAAAATTAATTTTCAGTGAAGAAATCTTAAAAGCAAATGTCAAGTCCCAATTTAATTTTCTTTATATGATTTGAAAATATCTAATTTCTGGCCTGAAACTTATTTTGTATGGAAATTTTAAAATTTAAATGAAAGTCAAAAATTGCAAAATAAATAGAAAACACTTGTATAGCACCCAGAATTTTTTCATTGTACAAGATTTTAAATTATAATCGTCCGTGTTAAGTATGAAAAAAATTCAGATTTATTTTAACAACTACCCCTTTTTTTATTTATGTACAAAAAAATTAACTGTTTTAGTCTTTTTTGATTCTTAAATTTTATATTTTTAATTAGAAAGATTTTGCATTTTAATTTACAAATTCAGTTGAAAATGTGTTTTCCGCCTATATCCGTTGAAAGGGTCAAATTAGTGTCATGGAAAAGGGCGGGAGGAGCAAATTTTTTGGTGAGGTTAGTGCGTAAATCTATTTAAAGTGTCCTGATGCCGTGTGCGGCTAATTTCGTGCGACTTTTCCCAGCACCACTGCTCCGAGCCTGCGTCTCTTTGATGTCGTTTCGCGGCCTTTGACAAAAAATCGCTTTATTTTCATGCTTTGCTGCGTCCCGCGAGCGCGAGTTTACCATTTTCCAGCAACCAAAAGACGCAAACCAAACTTTGCGCGGGAAAATAGCATATACAAATTTCCTTTGGTCTCTTTTATCTTCATAACAATTTTTTGCAATATATTCTATGGATTCAAGAGGTTAGAGCGGAGAATTTTATTGCCGATTGCCTAGATACAAAAATTAGAATAAATACAAATTTTGGCATGTAAAGTGTGATTATGAGATTGTTTTATAAATCTGTGCAAATTTTTTCTGGTAATCTATTGCTGTATATAATTTTTTCTTAAACTCATTTTTTTAGAGTGTTTTTTTTTTATTCCCATGCAAATCAATAAATGGAATTGCACGTGCAGACTTCTTGTGCCTACAAGAACACGCGGAATGAATTTCCCATCGAGTCGTGGGCGTCGACATTGTAAATTTCGGAATTCGCTTCGCGCGCCCCTCGTTGTGTTTTCTTCGCTTTTTTTCTTCTTCACTCGCGCTGGCTGGCGTGCTTGATTTACACCACGAGAGTGACTGTTGATTTTTCCTTGAATTCGCCTGCCTCCAAAATGAGTGCCATAAATAAAACCAACAAGAAGAGAGAGAGAGAAGACATGACATGGGATTATAAAAATCATTTTTCGTTCCCTACCTGCGGCTGCCAGGCCAGGGCTGCGGCCACAAAAAATAAAAATAATGTACAAAGAACGAGAAGGAGGAGGAAGGGAAAGAGCGAGAAGGAAGGTCCATCCTCTGCTTGTTCAGCCAGGTCTCTACGGACCTACCTTTCCGCAGCAATTTGTTGTTTTTCACAAATTTACTCAAGTGGTTGTTCAACAACAGGGGAAGTGGAAAGATATTTTCACGCTCAAATTGGACGCTTTCGAAAGAGGGGTAGTACGCGAAACGTCTTATAAAAATTGTACCTGCTTTTCAAATACAATTATATTTTCAAAACAAAAATTTAATTTTAAATAATCTTTTTTTAATACATTTGTATTAATACTTGTTTTTCAATAAATTAATTATTGCAAAAATTTGATTAATAGTTGGCCAATAATTTGAAAGTTTTTTGTTAAAAATCTCTGTTCTTGTGACGTGACCTTTCTGTTAATTTTCTGATAAATTCTTTTATTCCCAATTTGAAGGTTGAAAATCAAAAGCAATTGAAAAAGTTCAAAGTTCCATCCGACTCGCAAATTATGTTATAAAATCATAAAATAATGTTTTTTTTTCAGTTAATAACGATTCGTTGAGATTTTTTTAAGTTTAAAGTCTCCATAAATGATTTTTCTAAATTAAGCCGTGGAAATATTAACATAATTTTACCTCCCACACAATTATAATAAATTTATTTATTAATAATTTTCTTGATAAATATTTCTTAATTCTGATAATTAGGAATTGATGCTTAAATTTTCTAGAACCAATTCTTGAAATTAAATTTTATCCACCCACGCATTGCAGCACTGCCCTTAATTCCGGGGAGCTGTGCGGCTGCATGCTTTTCACGGAGGCCTTTCTTGTTCACTCTCAGGTCAGGCCACTATGGTTTTCACAATAATTTTCCTCCCGATAAAAGCGCCAGTGGGAAAGTTTGTTTTTTGGTTGCTGGGCAAGAAAGAAAGAGAGAAGAAAAGCTCTCTTGATATAGGTTCCCATGTTTTTGGCACTGCCTGAGCTGCTGGGGGATTTTTCCTTTGTTGTCGTACTGGGCATTGTTGGCCGCAGCGTGAATAAAAGCAGGCAGGAATGCTCGGCTTTTCATGTGCAAAGGCTCGCTCGAATTTTTATTTGGATAAAAGCAGGTGGAGAAAATTTTATTGCCTGACAAGAACTCTACTTTTTTTTATTCGCAAAAAAATATTTCTCACAAATTTCGCGCTAAAAGGGGACCCGTGTTGGACGCTTGTTAAAATTAAAACTGCTATATTAATTTCTTTATCAGTCGCTACTCAGATAACCATAAATGAAATGACAACATGCCAATGACACACACACACTCACTCTGCGTGTGACGTCGCTTTTTTTAATGCTCGCTCCAGCGGCAGCACGGACTGGCAGACCGACCAGCTCTCGCTATCTGAAAGACAGACGTGTTGTGTGTGTTTTTCGTCCAATGGAAATGCTTTTTCGCTCCACACTCTTCGTCGCCTTGTTTTTACGCCACTCCGCGTCAAAATTTGCTCAAGTGCCGTCTGCGGCTCACTTTGCATTTATTTACTTTTTGCAGAGTTAAAATGAACGCTGCCTTGTGAATAATGTGAGAGAAAAGATGGATGATATAAATTTAGAAAATTTATTGTGTACAAAAGTGTTCTTATTCATTTTATCTAATTTTCCCATTTGATGCATCAAATCGGAGTTTTTGTTCACTGAAATCACAAATATTCTACAGACAAGATATGTGCTACAAGTGGCAATTTGAGTCCAAAATTAATATTTGATAAAAATCAGCTGCAAGCAAGCTAATTTGCAGAGTTTTGAAAACGTGTAATAATCTTTTCATCCCAAACCAGTAAATTGTTTAAAACTCGACAAAATCAGTAGAAGAAGAGAGTGTCCACATATTTTGAATCTGCAGTTCTATATTTTTGGGCTTAAGAATAAGCATGGCTCATAATCTTAAAGATCAATATAATTGAGATATTTTCAAATCACCAAAACAAACAACAAACATTTGAAGCAATCATTTTTTTTATATAATTGATTTGATGTTTTCTGATCGAAGTATTCAACTTTCTTAACGGCGATTTTTTTATAAAGAAATGATACACAAAATTAGATTGGATTTTCATCCAAATTCTGCCGCATATGTCATTATTTTCAAATTTTTTGTTTCTCTTTTGAGAAGGGAAGTAAAAAACTATAATAAATAAGGAGACTTATACATTCCTGCATTGTTTCTTTGGTTTTATTCTTGTTTTAAGTGGTTGAATAATAGTATTTTTAATGTTTTTAAATAATTATTATTTTCCAAGAAGTAATTTTGAAGGAAATTAGTTGAATCAAGAGTTTATTAAAAGGGTGACAATTTTTATTACATCTTTCAAAATATTTACAAATACTAATTTCCTTGCTGTATACTTCAGTAAAAATTATTTATTATGAAACAAACTGCACTAATAGGAGATAATTATTGTCGTCGCTAACGAGAGTGTAAAGGTGCGAAAAGGCATTTTACACGAGGAGGTGTAATTCAATCACGAAATAAAAGCGGCATTGAACACGCTTTTTCTCACATTACTCAATTCACCATAAAGTCATAAAAGCTAAGCAGACGTCAATCGCAACACAAGTGGAAAGAGTAACGAACGGAAAATTGTAAAAATCGGATCGAAGACGAAAATCTTATCTCTCGTTTTTATTCTTTTACAACGAGAGGTGCGCCGAGTGCAAAAAAAAAAATTAAGGCAGCTCTATAACTAACAAAGCAAAGAGGGCGACTGCGAAACAGGTATTCGCGCGCCGGCAGCGCTTTTTTAACATGCAGAGCAATAAATTATTGTTTTAACAAAACAGAGTGTGTTTTTGCGCCGTGCGTGTCAAATAGGATTTCGATCAAACTCCAGGTGTTGGGTGCCCGAAATTAAATAATTGCGGCCCGGACAATTATCAAATTATTTAGGGCTTAATGAGACCTCGCCAGATTTATTTTATTCAGGCCGTTTCAACGACAAAAGTAAATAGAGAAAACTAGATTGAAAGCTCGACGACACGCGATCCTCTCAATTTTCGAGCTTTTTGTTGGTGGCTGCGGAGAAACCTGCCCATTTTTTCACTCCTTTTGTCGAGCGGCTTAATTACCGCAGACAGACGCGATTATAAACAAATATCTTGAAAAGTCGAAGATCGTTTCGTGCCTAAAACGCTAGGCCTCTTTCCTTGGCGATTTGTTTAAATAAAATACTGTCTATATAAGATTTTTTGATGAAAAGAGGATTTTATTTATATAAATTTTATAATTTTTTGTTGTTATTTTCCACTTTAATTTAAATTAATTTTTAACAGACTTGCAAAATACCGGTTTTGCACTATCCTAAGTAAACTCTGGCATTGATTTTCATTCAACTGCGTGCTTATCATTGCAGATTGAACTCTCCGGTGGGTCCGCCCTTAAGCTCACGTCTCGCTCGTAAACAATTTATTTCTTTTGCCGCCGTCAATCATTGATTTTTTTTATATTTTTAATAACGATTCCCCTCTGCAGACTTATAATCAAAGCAATAAAAAAAATCCTTCCAAATAATCTTGTGCTTCTTCTTTTTTTTTGTGCGTGCAATAAAACCGGCAGCAATCAATTAATTGGCAAACTTCTCCTCTGTGGGGTCGCTTGATATTTTATTTTTTTATTATTTACATAACGGGCCTGCACCGTTTCAATTACACTTTTCCTCCAATAAACTGGTGAAAAGCACTTGGCAGGTGCTGGCGGCGGCGCGAAAATCGGTTTTCTTCTTATATTAAGCTGGTCGTCGCCCGCGGCCACAGTCACAAAAAGCAGTTGTTAAATTCCTGAAACAATCCCCCTTGTTTGCTCGGGAAAGAGTGTTAAGGCGTAATGGCAGGCAACAGCTCACTACTACCTGCTCTCGCGCCAGAGAAAAAAAAACCAGAGAATCTATGCGCACCTCTATCAAAATCGACAGCATGTCCGGAATGGGGGAGCGGTTATAAAAAACATAAATTCCTCCCTAAACAGTTTTTTTTTTATCAGCTGCTTTCACAACAAAAGGGTGTTAAATTTAAAGGCGAGCATTTTTCTTTTGTTTTAAAGTCTTACGGAAAAGCTTTTTTTTCTTTTTAATATCGTTGTTAAAATAAGTCACAGTCAAACCAATTTCATTCGGAATTCAATTAGGCGCTCAAATCGTTGTTCAAACAATCAGCCCGAGGGTCGCGTCTTCCCCGAAACGTGCGCTAATTACAGGGCCCATCCATCCATGCACCAGGTAGCAAAAGCAAACACACTTTTGGGAAACAAAAAATCTCTCCCGGCACACCAATCAGTGCAGACTTGTAAAGAATAAAGAAAATCTACAAGTTTCCTCACCTATTATAAAAGAGGTTTAAAAATGTTTAAAAGAAATACATTTAAGGAAAATTTGATTATTTTTGCATCACATGGCGCATTTGATATGTTTGAAACTTATTCGAGGCTAAAAATTGATTAACTTGAAGAAGGTAATTTTTTTTTTTAATATTTAGAACAGTTCAATGTAACACAAAATTTGTAAATTGGAACAACTTGAAGGCGCCTTTTTTTCTCAGATGGCAAAACGTTTATTTCGGCAACAATAGACAGGCTATTCCCATCGTCAAGAATTATTGAGCACAAGTTGAAATACATATTTTTTTAAATCAAAATTAAACGCTATTGTATTTTAGTACATTTTTATTAATCAAATTTTGTTCTATTTTTGCAGGAGAAGAGCCAAAGCAGCAGTTTTTCTCCGAAGAGCAATGCGGCGGCGAGGAGCAGCGAGCACAGCCCCGTCTTCGGTGAGTCAAAATGAATATTTTCCTTCGTCTTTCCTGTTTTTTTATATTTATTCAAACTCGACGGACGACTCTCGCTCGCGTGAGCCGCCTGCTGATTGTAAATTCGACCGCTAACGAGCCTCCTCGGGCGTTCATTTCACAGGCAAGGTGGACGCCATGGCCCAGTCGGCCCTCAACATGGGCTACCTGGTGTCCCCCTACCACTACCCCAACGGCTCCACAGGCCCCATTCCAGTCTCCATGGTGAGTACCACAATCTTTCAGTTGGAATAGAGAAGAAGTTAGAGCTGCTGCTCGGCTGGCAGCAGCAGGTACAAAAAAAGCCTCCCCCACTGATGGATGATGCCCACACCAAACAAATATTTGGCAATCCAGCACACACACACAGGAGCACACACACATACACACACAGATCAGAGTGAGAGAGAGACAGGAAATGGTGGATGAGGAGGCACAAAGATATAACCAGCCAACAGGCCTCTCCTCTTTCTTTTTTTCTCTCTTTCTCCCGCGTTATTTCACGCCAGGCGAATTTTATTATATATTATTTTTACTATCGCTGCTCATCTGTCTCTACTTAAATTCTGGAGATTAGAGGAAAATTCAAGAGATTTTTTTCTTTCCTCGCCGTATTGTCCGCGCACATGTGTCCCTCTTTGTAATAGAGGACAACATGTTGTAGAAGAAAAATCTCTCCCCGCGCTCCGGGGGATTTCTCGGAAAAAAAAATATGAAAACGTGGCTTGGCTTGTAATGTTTTTCAACAGCACCCTATAACGAAAGAATTTTAAAACCCTGCAATATGGCAAACCAACAAGGATCCAATTGAGAATATTGAATATTACCAAAAATAAATAAAACACAATTTTATCAAAGGATAACAATATTTGGAATGAAAGTAACTTCAGTGAAAAAAAATTAAATTTACGAACTGCCTCTTTATGGACCCCGAAGCTGTCAGATCAAACCCCAAAATCAATCACCAGAACGATTTTTTTTTGTTTGGAATGTTTGACACTTTCACGGTGCATTTTTACAACTCACTTCAATCGCCATTATATAATTTATTGCATCTCTCTCGATGGATATTCCCTTCAGTCATAAATTTTTACAACCTTTTGAAAAAAGGTTCCCGACTTTTCCTCTCTCCTCTCGTCTACCTATAGAGAGAGACAAATGAGCCTGGACAGTAAAATTCACACCCGGACCGTCGCTTCTTCTTCTTCTTCTCCCCTTCAGGAATATATAATTTATAAAAAAACCAAAGGTCTGGGAAGAAGACGAAGAAGAAATTTATATTTGTTTCGGAAAAGGGATAGCATCTAATTAAGGCGGGCATTATTTTTAAACACTCGGGCGAGCAGGTTTTATTTTTTCTTCCATACGTGTTTGGATAAATAGGCGTAAAAAGTGAAATGTGTGGTCATCAATCACGGCCAAATTAATTCGTGCCTCTCCTCGCGGCTCCTCTCCCTCTTGGGCGGATGATTAGCGCGGTAATTAGCGTGTGCGCGGCGATTCGGCCACAAATTCTTCTCGAAAGTGATCATTCAGGGGGCGTGCTTTGTTTGCTCAGCCAGGCATTCAGTCTCTCTCTAGCTCGCAGGTCAGGACCAACAGGTCCCTTTTCTCGCGCGCACCCACGCTTTTGGCGCCAAATCGCCGGCCGGACAAATGATCCGTCTGCATTCCATAGAGCTTGCTCAAGTTTTGAAAATGGAACCCTGCAAGAGTAGCTCGCAATAAAAAATATAAAAATAATGACCTGACGTACACACAACAGGGCTATCAGGTGTTCAACGTTATTTAAAATAGGTTTGAGATGAATTTCATCAAATTTGTATTCATTAAACAGCTTATGTGGTCTCCAAATTTTATTAAAAAGAAAAATAAAAATTATGAATGAAACTAAATTTTAACTCCAACTCCCTCGGTAATGAATTAAATCAAATTTAAAGGTCGAATTAAACTTGCTTTGGTAAAAGGAATAGTTTTTATAGGTTGGAATACTTCAAAAATTAATTCAATGATTAAAGAAAAATTAATATTTTGCAGATAGCTTGAAATTCGGTATTTTTAAGAGAAAAGTCTATGATCTGAGAACAATTTTGAATGCATAATTTTCATGTGAGAAATCCTAGTTCTCTCAAAACATTATTAGTTTAATAAAAAAAATTTAATACTGCGCGATTAATTAAAGTAACCGGAAACTTAAAACAATAAGTGAATCGCCAAGCACGTCAAGGAAATGCCGGTTTTAAATTCAAATCAAATATGATGAAAACATCACAACATTGGGATATTGAAAAGAATGTTTATATTTCTATCACAGAGTAAATCTGTTCTTATTTTGCGCTAAATCAAACAAAAATTTAATAATATATGAAGTAAATATACAGAAGTGTAAATTATTACAAAAATTTGTTTAAGTGTATTTTTTCTGTTTCTATTCTTGGCTCATGAGTGTGTGTTTAAGCTTCAGCGTTTGCGAATCCTTGAACTGAAAAAAATTTGTTTTAAAATTTAACTTCAGTGGTTTCTGTTGCAGTGAAACCCTTTCTATTTACAAGTTTCCACTGCTTTTTATGTGTTTTGCGTTTTTCCCTCTCCTAATCGCATTTGGCATGCGGAGCACAGACAGATTTTGCGATAATTTCCAAACACGGCGGTGGTCTCTCTCGCTCAAGATGGAAGGAGAGTGCGAAGTATGTGAGCGTCGGTCGGTCGAATCTCAAATTTGGCAGTTCGGCCGTGACGTCACCGTTAATGATGTTGCCCGGCAATCAATAAGGGTCTACATATTCCCATCGGTCGCCTCCTCCTTGTTATACGACGCCGTAAATAAGCCGAGAAAGAAAAACCTACCTGCTTAGCATAATCAAGCGAATAAAAAAAAATATAAAAATCCCCAACTGGCAATCAATTAAACCAGGGGCTAATGATAATAATTTGGCTGGAATGTTCCCAGTTGGGAGAGAGAGAAAATTTATTGTTTGCTCTTGGAAGAGAGAGAATGGGGGACTTCAACCTGAGAGAGAAAAAAAAATGATAATTTCTAATCTGGGTGTGAAATGTCAGCACTTAACAGCCCATCTGATTACTACAAGTGTAAGGATTCTCTCTGAAGCCGCGTCACTAATTGTCAGATCAAAACAGAATTTGTGTATGTGTGTGAGGAGGGCGCACGAAATCGGCAGAAAACTAATTATTCACGGCGGCAGGAAGCGGACAAAGAAAGGCCAGGAGAATTCTGTGGCTCGTAAAGGGTGGTTGCTGCTGGTTGTTGGTTCAAAGACCCACCGAGGCACTACAAAAGAACGAGTCTCTCTCTCTCTCTTCTCGGTTGCTGCCGCTGGAGAAGAATATTTTTCGTCGGTCGCGGCCGCAGCAGCAGCAGACGCCGCTGCTTCCCTCGTTAATCTCGGCGTAGGCGTCGACAAGCTGGCAACCATGGGCCGCCGCCGGAGATTTTCTTCTTCGTGGTCCCCCCACCTGCACGGCATACCATTGAGAAAGACAAAAAATAGCAGCAGCAGCAGCGCGGCAGCAGAGGCAGCGCGCGGCGTGGCCTTGTTAGGATCAATATTTGAATAATAGGTGACAGGCAGTGCCTTTTGCACCCCTTCGACACATACTCGATCCGCACCATACGATTAATTAATTACGAACAAATAGTTTCGGCCCGAATTCCTTGCGCACTGCATACACAATCCCGACCTGTGGGAAAAATAAAAGAGTGTGAGAGTGTTTTCCGCGTGACGAGAAGAGAGGTTCCTGCTTTTCTCAGGCGTGATCAAATGGAAATGCGTTTTATCCACCACGTTCCTCCGAAGTTGTAAAACAAGATAAAAATCTTACCTCAATCTGCGTGGAAGAAAAATATATTTATGAAGGGAGCGAAAATTTTAAAGCAAAATTGTAAAATTAGACCATAAGTGAACCACAAAAATATTTTAAACTATAAAAAGAAGATAATTAACTTCTTAAATTTCAATTTCCTCTCAATTTTAATATGAAAGGATAAAAATTACAAAAAATTTCGTGTCTTCTGAAAAAATTAGGGTTTTTCTACTTAAAGAAATCAGAAAATTTCATTCTACTTTTTTTGGCAAGCGCAGTAATTTTCTAGTAATTAAAACACATGCGCAGAAGGTTTCCAATACGATGAATGGCTGCTAAAGATTTTTTTATATTGAACTGCGCATGTGTGAAATGCACAAAACTCTATTGCACAGCCCCAAAATGAATAAATTATCACACTAAAATATTCAGTCGAGAAATTTTCATTTTAATTGAGGGTGCAAAAATGCGAATCCAACCAAGGTCTCAAGTTTATGTTTCCTTTACGGCTCCATTCAAACCTCAAATTAATTAATTCAAATAAAACGAGGTATTTGCGCCGCTCATGCCTAATTAAAATACTCATAGTTTTATTGCACAAATAATAACTCTGTTTATGCTTTACGACTTTTTTTACATCCGAGAATGTGCAAAATAAATATCCCGAGAAAAAATATTAAAAACCTCTCCGTTTTTGGCAGTGGGGTGTATAATTGAAAAAAAAAACCAATCCGCCGAAATAATTACAACCGCGAAAATAGTAATAAAAAAAGGAGAAGGCTTGTTATTATAAATTGCAGTTGGAAACAAACCTCTTTATCCTAATAAGCACGCTGACCGGGCGAGACTGCCGAGAGCAAGAATTCGCACGCAAGCGATCTCGTGTTTGAGAGACAACGAGTCAGGCGAGTTGTTAGTATTCATAAAACTTCTTCTTCTTCTTCTTGAAAAGCAGTTAAGCCCAATTTTGCCATTTTCGCGCATCACGTTCGCTGCCGCAGCGGGTAGAAAAAGAGGGAAAAGGCCCAAAACACACACACCGAGATCAGCCGAGAGTCAAAACTTCCAGGTTGGCACCTCGCGCGAAAACTTGCTTCTTCCTTGTGTGAGCAGCACTGCCGTCGCGAAACTTTCGGCGTATATTTGCATAAATTGGCTGGCAAGCTCCGTCGCCTCACAACTTTTGCTGCTGCGCCAAACGTGCGACCCTTTACGCGCAGAACACTCCATAAACATTCACTTTGACTTGTTTAACGGCCAAAAAACGCGGAATTCCTTTCTTAAATTCTGCTCCAAGGGGAAATCAGCAACACTCTGGTGCTCAAAGATTTTAATTTATCTTAGGATTGGAAAAAAATCGCGTAAAATGCCTTATTGTTAGAGTAAAATAGATTTTAAATTTT